CCAGCGCCCTGGGGGCTCGGATACGGGGAGGACAGAGGGGAGGAAGGGAAAGGGGCAAGGAAAGAGGGATGGAAGGAGGGAAGGGAAGAGGGATGGAAGGAGGAAGGAGGGAGAGATGGGAGGAGGAGGGAAAGGGAGATGAAAGGAGGAAGAAAAGGATGAAGAAGGATGAAAGGAGGAAGAAGGGGGCGATGGAAAGAGGGAAGGGAAGAGGGAAGGAAGGAGAGATGGAGAGATGGAAGGAGTATGGAAGGAGGAAGGGTTGAAGGAGAGGTGGAAGGAGAGATGGAGAGAAGGAAGGAGTATGGAAGGAGGAAGGGTTGAAGGAGAGGTGGAAGGAGAGATGGAGGGAAGAAGGGGAGAGGGAAGACAGGCTGGAAGGAGGGAGGCTGGGGGACACAAGGCTGGACGGGGAGCGCAGGGATGGACGGAGGGATGGGGGATGGGGGACAACAGGGACAGTTGGGGCCAGGACGTCCCCGTGACACTGTGTCCCCGCAGGACCATGGAGCTGCTGCCCTTCGTGTTGCTCCTCCTGGTGACAGCGGGTAGGTGGGGTCCCCTGTCCCCTCCCCCCACCAGGTGCCCTCATGTGTCCCCTCGTGTCGCTCCACATCCCTTTGTGCCCATGTCCATCCATGTCCCCTCCCTGTCCACGTCCTCCTTGGTGTCCCCATCCATGTCACTAGCCGTTTCCCCCACTGCCCATGTCCCCTCCCTGCCCATGTCCCCTCCCTGTCCACGTCCTCCTTGGTGTCCCCATCCATGTCACTAGCCGTTTCCCCCACTGCCCATGTCCCCTCCCTGCCCATGTCCCCTCCCTGTCCACGTCCTCCTTGGTGTCCCCATCCATGTCACTAGCCGTTTCCCCCACTGCCCATGTCCCCTCCCTGCCCATGTCCCCTCCCTGTCCACGTCCTCCTTGGTGTCCCCATCCATGTCACTAGCCGTTTCCCCCACTGCCCATGTCCCCTCCCTGCCCATGTCCCCTCCCTGTCCACGTCCTCCTTGGTGTCCCCATCCATGTCACTAGCCGTTTCCCCCACTGCCCATGTCCCCTCCCTGCCCATGTCCCCTCCCTGTCCACGTCCTCCTTGGTGTCCCCATCCATGTCACTAGCCGTTTCCCCCACTGCCCATGTCCCCTCCCTGCCCATGTCCCCTCCCTGTCCACGTCCTCCTTGGTGTCCCCATCCATGTCACTAGCCGTTTCCCCCACTGCCCATGTCCCCTCCCTGCCCATGTCCCCTCCCTGTCCACGTCCTCCTTGGTGTCCCCATCCATGTCCCTGGCCGTTTCCCCCACTGGCCATGTCCCTTCCCTGCCCATGTCCCCCTCCATGTCTCCATCCATGTCCCCTCCCTGTCCGTGTCCCTTCCCTACCCGTGTTGCCGTCCACGTCCCAATCCATGTCCCCTCCCCACCCACGTCCCTGCCTGCGTCCCAATCCCTGTCCCTGCGTCCCAGTCCGTGTCCTCATCCACGTCTTCTCCCCATCCATGTCCACACCCATTTTCCAGCCCATGTCCCCATCCCTGTCCCAGTCCGTGTCCTCATCCACGTCCTCTCCCCACCCACGTCCCCATCCCTGTCCCTTCTCCATCCAAAGGAGGCTCAGGAGGGGACCTGGCAGTGGCCTGTGTCCCCACGGTGGGTGGCCCACGTCGCTGCAGCAGGGAGGTGACCCCGTGGGTGGCCCGCGTCCCCATGGTGGGGATGGGAGAGGATGGGGGGGGCGGGGCCACGTCCCCACGGCGCAGACGGGACGTGACGGGTGGCTCCGGGTGGCCGGCGCCGTCCCACACGTCCCCTTCCCCAGGTGGGGCGCAGGACGACGGGGACCGGATCATCGGGGGCTACCCCTGCATCCCCCACTCGCAGCCCTGGCAGGTCTACATCTACCAGCCCGTGCGCTGCGGTGGCATCCTCCTGCGGCCCCGCTGGGTCCTCTCGGCCGCCCACTGCCTCTACAGGTGGGGACGCGGGCGCAGGGACACGGCCGGGGGACACAGGACGGAGACATGAGCTAGGGAGATGGGACAGGGGTCCAGGACCAGGACATGGGATGGGGACAGGGACACGGCCAGGGGATGAGGGACACATGACGGGAACACGGGATGGGGACGAGGACAGGGGATGGGGACACGGCTTTGGCATGGAGGACGGGGTCACAGGACTGGAACGGGGGCATGGGACAGTGACACGGGATGAGGACAATCCCCACGTCCCATCTGTGTCTCCTTCCTCCTCCATATCCATCTCTGTGTCCCACCTGGCTTCCCATCCATGTCCCCTTCATCTTTCCTTGTGTCCCATCCATGTCCCCATCCATGTCTCCTTCTCCTCCACGTTCCCTTCATCATGTTTGCCCCATGTGTCCCCTTCCTCCTCCACATCCATCTCCGTGTCCCCTTTCTCACCTGTCCCCACATCCCACGTCCCCACGTTGTCTACCTGTCCCCTTCCTTCTCCGCATCCATCTCTGTATCCCCACCCGTGTCCGCATGTCCCATCCACGACTCCTTCATCCTCTGCATCCATCTCTATGTCCCATGTCCCCTTTCTCCTCCACATCCATCTCCATATCCCATCCTCATCTGTCCCCACGTTGCCCATCTGCGTCCCCGTGTCCCATCCACGTCCCCTTCCTTCTCCGCATCCATCTCTGAATCTCCATCCACGTCCCCTTCATTTGTCCCCATGTCTCATCCATGTCCCCTTCCTCCTCCGCATCCTTCTCTATGTCCCATGTCCCCTTCCTCCTCCACATCTATCTCCGTGTCCCCATCATCTGTCCCCGCGTTGCCCATCTGCGTCCCCGTGTCTCATCCACGTCTCCTTCCTCCTCTGCATCCATCTCTATGTCCCATGTCCCCTTCCTCATGTCTTCATGGCCCGTGTCCCCATCATCTGACCCCACGTTGCCCATCTGTGTCCCCACGTCTCATCCACGTCCCCTCCCTTCTCCGCATCCATCTCTATCCCCACCCACGTCCCCTCCCTCCTCATTTGTCCCCATGGCCTCTCCGCCTCCCACCC